CAGGATTGCTAATAACAAAGATTCTGAACTTTTTTTTTACTACATGTAATACCTTTCTTGAGTGTTTCTGGTGATAGCGTAAGACAGTAGCCATCGTTTAGCAATGTTTCCTTATGTTGAACCTGCACTTAGTGTGGCCTCTAAAGTGAAGGTGCACTTACTGCTTCTTTCATATCAAAACCCTAATGTAGCAAACATGTTTTCTCTTTTTTGTGAGTTAAAAATTCTCAGTTTATTCATTTATTCTTCTTATGACATACCCTTTACTACTTTGGTTGTCCTCTATTTAGTCTCGTCAGATACATGCATTACTATGTGGCCCCCAGAAATTGGGTGATATTTTAGTTGCCATCCCACAAACTTGGAATGAGCTAGACTTATGCCTACAAACTCAGAACCTGTACTTTAATTGATATATTGATTTTTTTTTTTTTTTTGAGTTGGAGTCTCAATCTATCGCCCAGACTGGAGTGCAGTGGCCGGGCAGCCTCAACCTGCTGGGCTCCGGCGATCCTTCCGCCTCAGCCTTCCGAGTAGCTGGAACTACAGGCGCGTGCTACCACGCCCGGCTAATTTTTTTGATTTATTGTAGAGATGAGGTCTCGCCAAGTTGCCCAGGCAGGTCTCGAACCCATGGGCTCAGGCAATCCACTCTCCTCGGCCTCCCAAAGTGCGGGATTACAGGCTGAGCCACCGAGCCCAGCGATTTTTAATATTTTGTAGAGATGAGGTCTCACTGTGTTGCCTAGACTGGTCTCAAACTCCGAGTCCTCAAGCAATCCTCTCTCCTTAGCCTCTCAAAGTGCTGAGATTACAGGCATGAGTCACCACACCCAGCCTCAGAACCTGTATTTTAATTATTAGAGGTTAAAATTTTAAACTACTACTTCTAAATCCTTTCATTGGTTCCGTGTCCTATTTTTTTAAGCTAAGTAACACCGAAAATGGTCATTTTTGCATTGTGACCATAGTACTGTGGTGGTGGTGGTGTGTAAATCAGGGTCTCTGTCAGCCAGGCTGAAGTGCAGTGACCTGATCACCGCTCACTGCATTCTCAAATTCCTGGCCTCAGGCAATCCTTCTGCCTCAGCCTCCTGAGTAACTGGGACTACAAGTACACACCACTACGCCCGGCTAATTTTTTAGTTATAATACTGGGGTTTTTTTTTTTTTAATGCCATTTGTCATTTTTAAAAAATCATAATTTTTACTAAGTGCAGCGGCTACACCTGTAATCCCAGCACTTGGGAGGCCAAAATGAGAGGACTGCCCGAGATGAGGAGTTTGAGACCAGCCTGGGCAACATGGTGAGACCTCATCTCTACTATAAATCAAAAAATTAGCCACACATGGTGGCATGTACTTGTAATCTCAGCTACTCAGGAGGCTGAGATGGAATAATTGCCTGAGCCCAGCAGATCGAGACTGCAGTAGCTGTGAGTATGCTACCGCACTCCAGCCTGGGTGACAGAGTGAGATCTGACTCTCCTCAAATAAAAGAAAGAAATATTTTTGTGATAATAGGATGAAATTTACTATCCTAACCATTGTTAAGTTTGTAGTTTAGTACTGTTAAGTACATTTACATTGTTGTGTGACAAATCTCCAGAACTCCTCATCTTGCAAAACTGAAGGCAGAGCCATTAAACAAGAGTTCCCCATCCCTGCTCTTCTAGTCCCTGACAGCTACCATTTTACCTTCCTGTTTCTGTGAATTTGACTACTCTAGGTCTCTCATGTAAGTGGAATTTATAGTCTTTTTTTTCTTTTTTTTTTTTTTGAGTTGGAGTCTCACTCTGTCGCCCAGACTGGAGTGCAGTGACCGCTCCCGGCCACCGCAGCCTGGACCTGCTGGGCTCCGGCGATCCTTCCGCTTCAGCCTTCCAAGTAGCTGGAATTACAGGCATGCGCTACCATGCCCGACTGATTTTTTGATTTATTGTAGAGATGAGGTCTCGCTGCTCAGGCGGGTCTCGAACCCACGGGCTCAGGCAATTCATTCACCTCAGTGTCCCAAAGGTGTGGGATTACAGGCTGAGCCACCGAGTCCGGCTAACAATTATTAAATGGATAGAAACTAGAAGCATTTCCCCTGAAAACCAGAACAAGACAAGGATGCCCACTCTCACCCCTACTATTCAACATAGGGTTGGAAGGTCTAGCTAGAGCAATCAGACAAGAGAAGGAAATCAAGTGCATCCAAATGGGAAAAGAGGAAGTTAAGCTATCTTCTTCACTGACACTATGATCTTATACCTGGAAAACCAAACAGAATCTGTCAAAAACCTCCTTGCACTGATAATGGACTTTAGCAAAGTCTCAGGGTACCAAATAAATGTGCAAAAGACAGTCATATTCTTATACATCCACAACAAACAGGCAGAGAAGCAAATAATGCCATTCACAGTAGATACAAAAAAAAGAAATATCTCAGTATCTTCCTGACCAAAGAAGTTAGAAACCTTTACAGTGACAACTACAAAACACTGCTCAAAGAAATCAAAGATGACACAAACAACTGAAAAATGTTCCATGTTCATAGATTGGAAGAATCAATATGGTTAAGATGTCCATCCTATCAAAGGCAATCTACAAATTCAATGCAATATTCATTAAAATGCCATCATCATTCTTCTCAGACCTGGAAAT